ATTTTGAACACCGGCTGGTCAGAATAAAATGTAGCCTTTCATGGATGCTGTCGCCGACTGTATATATTGATGTTCCTTTGCGTGATCGCTGTAAAGGGGAAAGGTAGAAATAAGCTGAAAGTAAGAGTGTATGACTTTCCCCCCTGCAATCTATCCCTTTTAGATCCTTTCTGATCAGTACCATCTGCAGGACGTCCTGGAGAGATCTGATCGGGCCATGGCTGTGGTGAAGGACCTGTTTGGAGATGCCCCTCGCAGGCATGCAGGTGAACTTTGCTCAGTGAAATGAGGCTTGGCTATTAATACAGCACAGTTTTGTGGTACAAACCCCAAACAGCAAGCTTGCTATGTTGTATGCTGGAAATGCTTTCCTCGTGTCGGCTGTTGTGATAGGGCAGAGGCAGGCCTTCTGAGTAGCTTTGGGTGAGAAGCTTTGGCCACCTGCACAGCTTCTTTAGCAGCGTATAAGCAGAGGTTCTTCCTCAAGCCTGTCGGCTGGTTTCTTCAGAGTCAACAGTTGGCCCTGGCTAGCTCACCTCAAGTTGAGAACCAGTTTGGTGTCATGGTTAAGAGCGCAGACTCTAATTTGGGAGAACCGGGTTTGATTCCCCACTCCTCCACATGCAGCTGCTGGTGTGACCTTGGGTCAGTTACAAGTTCTCTCATGAGCAGTCCTCGAAAGAGCTCCCTCAGCCCCACCTACCTCACAGGGTGTCTGTTGTGGGGAGGGGAAGGGAAAGGAGATTGTAAGCTGCTCTGAGACTCCAAGTGAAGGGGGGGTGTATAAATCCAATCTCTTCTTCTCTCTTCTTCTTCCTCTCTCTGCAGATATTTCCCTTACAACAGCATCACAACATCTGTTAACTGCTCTCAAGTATGAGAGCGAAACATTAGGAAGAGCTTCTTTGGAGGTTTTTAAGCAGAGGCTAGATGGTCATGTGAAGCAACTCCGATTCTGTGAATTTAGGTAGATGGTGAGAGGGAGGTCAGGAAGGGGTGAGCCAGCGCTCAGCTCTCATGGTCCTTTCTCACATGCCCAAGGTAATGCTGATCACTACTCTGGGCTCAGGAAGGAATTTTTCTCCAGCCCAGATTGGCTCAGGGATCCTGAAGGTTTTTTTGCCATCCTCTGGGCATAGAACAGGGGGTCAGTGGGGGTGGGGGGATAGTTAATTTCCTGCATTGTGTAGGGGGTTGGACTAGGTGACCCTTGAGGTCCCTTCCAGCTCTATGTTTCTGTAAGCTAGAAACCCACAGCCATTGTTTGTGCTTCTGGGTTCCAATGTACATCTCTGCGTCGCTCAAACTGGCCAGCTACCCATGCATTGAATCATGAGAAAATGCGTTCTTTCACCTTCTTACCTGTGTCTCTTCCCTTGTCCCCAATACCTTCTTGCTTTTCTTTTTTGCCATATTTATTTCCTCTCCTGTGTCTCTTCCCCACTTTGGCGCATGTGCTGTTTGTGGCAAGGCTTCACCACCAGAAGAACAACACAACACATACGTATTTTGTCTATAGAAGTTTTTATATCCTGTTTTCCCCTGTGTCTCAAGGTCACTTTTCTATCACAGTTAAAACATTAGAATCAATAGAATAAAGCCCTAGGTACCCTCCCCACCCCCAAGGTGTGGGTATCTGTTTATGCATCTGATGGAAGTAGGCTTTGCTCTGCAATAAATAGGAAGAAGAAGAGTTGGTTTTTACATCCCACTCTTCTCTACCTTAAGGAGTCTCAAAGTGGCTTAGAAGAAGAGATTGGATTTATATCCGCCTTTCACTACCCAAGGGAGTCTCAGAGCAGCTCACAAATTCCTTTCCCTTCCCCTCCCCACAACAGACACTCTGTGAGGTAGGTTGGGCTGAGAGAGCTCTGACAGAAACTGCTCTTTTTCAAGAATAGCTCTTATCAGAACTACGGCTTGCCCAAGGTAATCCAGCCAGGTGCAAGTGGAGGAGTGGGGAATCAAACCCGGTACTCCCAGATTAGAGTCCGTGCACTTAACCACTCCACCAAACTGGCTTACAATCGCCTTTCCCTTCCTCTCCCCACAACAGGCTCCTTGTGAGGTATGTGGGGCTCAGAGAGTTCTGACAGAACTGGGCCAGTCCCAAGGTCACCCAGCGGGCTTCAAGTGGAGGAAGAGTGGGAAATCAAACCCAGTTCTTTCGATTAGAATTCACCACTTTTAACCACTACACCCTGCTGGCTCTTTACATGCCATATGCTGCTCTTTATGTGGCACAGGACTCGGTTTCCCTTCTGGAATTTGTTGCAGTATTTCTCTGCGCCTCTGAGAAAGATAATGAAGGCTTCCCTGGAAGCGGTGTGTTCTTTTACACATCCAATCCATTATAAGAAGGGCAACTTCAATGGCTAATCCTTACGCCCTAGTAAATGTTTGCTATTTTACGGCCTTCTGGTCTTCCTTTGCCGTTTCCCAGGCTTCCCAAATGTGACGGTGGCTCCTGACTGTGACGTGGAATCCGCTCAAGGACCCATTGCTCAAAAGCGGGATCCCCCCACGCAGCTCTCCGTTCTTAGTGAGTCCGTCATGGATCCCCAGGTAACGTGATTTCCGGGTCTGACGTGTGTCTGATGATGCAATCCTGTGTGGTTATTCCTCGAAGTAAATTGCAGCTGGTTCCCACATGTTTCAAAAGCACACTATGTTAATTTAAGCTTTTGTCGAGATTTTCTTTTAAATTATATGTTTGTGCCAGTTGAGATTACTTGACTGACCTCGCACCTTTCTCTTTCGTTCTCTTCACAAGCCCTTCCTTTCATCCAACACAGTGGGAGGTGGGGAACAACATAATGCAAAAATGACATAACAATAAATCGCTCGTCGCAAACCAACTAAAACCAATCAGAAAACCAAATGTAACACGGATTATGCATTTAAGCACGAGACATTCAAGGATCCTTACAAGACCCTGTCGGTGCATTATGTGCAAGATGTGGATAGTGTCTGAAACCTTTATCAAAAGTCTTTTTTTCTTTTTTGGCCATCTCAACTGACTTACGGCAACCCCCAGCAAGAGATTCACAGAGGTGGTTTGCCATTGCCTTTCTCTGCATAGCGACCCTGGTATTCCTTGGTGGTCTCCCATCCAAATACTGGCCCTGCTTAGCTTCCGAGATTGGGGTAGCCAGGTTGGGGCGTCAAAGGTCATACATCCCAGTTAATGCAAGCTTGGAGCATCCAAGCTGAATCCATCAAAAAGCAATATTTAGGCATTTAGCATACTCAGCACTAGACTGGATTTTCTCTTCAGTTACCTGGTAGGTGAGATAGCGCCCCCCATCAGCTGGGCTATCTGGTGGAGGGAGACCCAGATCATTTTTAATCTTGTGCAATGCAACCATAAAAATACGTCACATCTGCAGTGCTCTCCTGCACTGTTTGAGATGTTCCATCTGTTGTTTTTTTTAAGGCTCTCAATGAAGTAAGGGAAAGCTCTTCAGGCTTCCTGCTTGAGGGTGAGAACATCCAAGATGTGTCTTTCGACTCCAGATCCATCATTGACGCGAACAGGTCTGTCTGTGGGGTTTTTGCATCGATCGTCTCTTGTATAAATATGCTGCCAATGTTATAGTTATATAAATATGTTGAATAAACCTTTGTCGGTCTTTGAAGGTGCCACTGGACTCTAAATGTGTTATGTTGCCAGTGGTTCTTTAATACTTAATCTGTTATTTCAACTGTTCTGATTTCCTTCTCTGCTCTTTCTGTCACGCTTTGAAATTGCTCCCTGTAAATTTCCACAATACTAATACAGTTAATATGCTTCTCTGCCTCAGGTGTGCAGTGCAGAGAGAAAGCCTTTTTCCCTATGAGCCTCCCTGCAGGTTTCACTCCCGTGACAGATCCAGTTTCCTTGACAGTCAAATCTGGAGGCGTGTGGGCTTCATGCCAAGGATTTGTCTTGGGAGTGAAGCCTACACCCCTTCGCATTTGACGGTTAAGAAACGTGGGTGACCAAAACCCCATACAACCAACATGTCTGTCTGTGCGGGACTTCAGTGGAAGATCTAACATACTACATCTTAGAATGTCCTCTGTATATTGGCCCTAGAATCAAATTCCTTAACCCAGTTCTTACAACCCAACAATCCACATCAGGTACCGATATAGTAACTTTTTTACTTTCAAATGCCAGTCCCACCATTTCCTATAGAATGGCACTATATGCCCATGCCGCAAGGAAACTTAGAGAGAGGGCTACAGATTGACTCCACTTTTAGAATACATCGTTGAGTAACTTGATCTTATACTTTTACTTCGTTTATGTATTTTATAGTGTGTTGCCAACCCTCGTACTGTTTTTATATTTTATATTGTGATGGCCAATGGCTATATGCAATAAACTTTTATACTGTACACTGTACTGTGGATGACCAACAGGTAGAGCAGTCGTCCCAGTTGTCTCACGGATGGTGCTTCCGGGCTCTCTTTTTCCCGAGAGGCCAAACAGAGTTTTTTGCAGTTAATGAACAGCTCTGAGAAGTGAGGTAGCCGGATCAGTTAGCTAAAGGACAGAAGGAGGAAAGACTGTCCGGATATGACTGAAAGGAAGTAGCGGTCATGGTGGAGCCTGTGCTGTATCGATGACAGCAACAGAGAATCCCCTCCCCCTCCATCACTACTTCATTTGTGCAGTGTTGGTTACTGGACCTCTTGTGAGTGGTGGCACCATTAGCGTTTAGTCCATCATAGACCAAACGACCCTCAGAGAACTACCACAGTCAACGTGCGATGTATTTTGCAGAAGAAACCACTTGGATCTCTTGCAGCTTAAACTCCGCGATTCAGGTAGATCGAGTGGAGGTTTGCAGTGGGCTACTCCAGGAAATGGTTCCAGAAGTCGCAGCCAGCACTGAATTCTTTTGATAGATTTGTTGACTGGGGTAAAGCGGAGAGAATGCATTAACATTAATTTTAGCCCAGCTGAATGGTCTGTATTTTCCCTTTAAAGCGCAGTCCAAGGAGTCAGTATGTACTCTGAAGGATTTCAGCAGCTACCTCATACTTTATGGAGCATCTTCCATATATTGCTCCCAGCACGTGAGATCTTGGGGCGGTTTTCTGCTGTGTTTATTTCAAATCTGTAAGGATATTTTTTAGCATTATGTTGTTTGGGAGGAACTGTGGCTCAGCATTTGTCTGGGTTGCAGAAGGTCCCAGGTTCAATCCCTGCCACCTCCATTTAATAGGATCCAGATAGCAAGTGATGGGAAAGCCCCTCTGCCTGAGACCCTGGAGAGCTGCTGCCAGTCTGAGTAGACAATCCTACCAATACACCAGTGATGTGGTACAATATGAGGCAGCCTTATGCGTTCATGTACACTTTTTATTGTGGCTGCTTTTGTTGCATATTTTGTAGTTTTACAGCTTGCTGCTTTTATTGCTTGGGTCTTTTTATCACTTAACAGCATGTGTTAATGCTGTGGTTTGATTATATCCTTGCACCTAGTTTTGGTGCTTTTAACATTTTGGATGACTTTGGGCCAAGCAGGTCTTTAATCACTTCCATTCGTTCTAACACAAGCTGGTTGCCTGGTGACCCTCTTGGTGCACAGCTGTTTGTGTGGCAAAAGCAATTACATAAGAACATAAGAGACACCAATGTTGGATCAGGCCAAAGGCCCATCCAGTCCAACACTCTGTGTCACACAGTGGCCAGAAATACCAGTGCCAACAGGAGGTCCACCAGAGCAGGTCTTTAATCACTTCCATTTGTTCTAACACAAGCTGGTGCCTGGTGACCTTCTTGGTGCACAGCTGTTTGTGTGGTAAAAGCAACTGTGTGACTTTTGGGAGCTGGAAAGGGTTTGTCGAAATGAGGATCCTTAGGAAATATCCTCTTCCGTGCTCGACAGCTAATCTTCCTATATCCACTCTGCATCTTTATCCTTTTATTTAGGGTGTCTCGCCTTCCAAAAGAGAAGGGCTCTGTGACCAATTGCCACGAAAAGGCTATCAAACAACGAGCAGGTGCCCCCTCGGCACAGGAAGCAAACATGCTTGCGACTCCAACAGCAGACCTTCCGTCACCAGACTGTGCAGGTTCACTTTAGTTTCATTTATTTCACATGAGCCTCCCTCCACCCGCAAAAAAAGTGCATTGGTTAACGGATCTAGGGGGAGGGGGGGAGAATGGACTGGAGGCAGGGTTGCCAACCTCCAGGTGGTATCTGGAGATCTCCCACTATTATAATTGATCTCCAGATGATCAAGATCAGTTCCCCTGGCAAAAATGGCCACTTTGGAAGGTGGACTCTCTGGCATTGTACTCTGTTGAGGTCCCTCCCCAAACCCTGCCCTTCCCATGGCTCCAATTTGTTCCTTATCGTGTTTGACCTCTGAAGAAGGCCTAAACAGGCTGAAACGCATCAGGTCAAGTCCATTGGCCCTTGTGTATATGATTTTGGGATTTTTATATGAAGTGTAATTGGGCCCCTATATATTTTTTTTTAGTTCTTTACAAATAAATACATGTATTTTTATATATTTTATATAATAAGTTTTAATTGCCGGCCCTCTGCTCTGTTTGACTTACCTTTTTAGGGTTCTTGATCCACCCCCAGAGCCTCCAGGTATTTCCCAACCAGAGCTGGCAACCCTAACTGGAGGTTATAACTACCCTAAACTGAGCAAGACAGTTAGCCTCTCCCTCCCCGCCCCCATGACATGCTGGCTTGCTTTAGCCTTCCAACAGAGATCTCTTGCATCCTTTCCACAAATCTCATGTAGCCCTTAATGCTACTAAGGTCGTGAAGAGAGTCCATTCAAGACTCGAGAACGAAGAGCAGATCGCTGACATCACGTACATAGTGCAGCAGGTCCTGAATGCCAACCTGAAGAAGCAGAAGCAGACTCCAGCCAAAGGTAGTGTGCTGGCCAGATGGCCCTCCTCCCTCCCAGCTAATCTGGGTTCCCGAAAGTGCGTGTGCCTTCTCCTGGTTCTCTCCCAAGCATGGCTGAGACCTCATTCTTGCTGAGGTGGGTAAGCCTCATGCTGGGAAGCAGGTTGGGTCTCACAGGATGAAAAGGGAGAAGGGTTAGCCTTCTTTCTGGCGTGCTCTCTAAGGGACCACCTCTCCCCATATGTGCCCCGGAGAGGCTTGCACTCTGTGGATAACCATCTGCTGGTTGTCCCCGGCCCAAAAGACGTTCGCTTAGCCTCAACCGGGGCCAGGGCTTTTTCGACTCTGGCCCTAGCCTTGTGGAACATGCTCCCGACTGAGATCTGAGCCCTACAGGACCTGTTATAATTCCGCAGGGACTAGAAAATAGAGATGTTCTGCCAGACCTTTGGTTGAGGCAGCGGGTATCTACCAGCTGGCTTCCCTGTTTCTGTGGCAGCAGGCGACTATTAACGAGACCTTTACGGCTCAACTTCGGCCCATCCGTTCCCGGCTGTAGGAAGTGAAAATTGAAATTTGCTGCACTGCCCACTTTAACTGTTTTTAACTGGTTTTTACGGTATTCATTTAATGTTTGATATCTATTTATTGAATCGTTTTTAGATTGTATTGGAATTTATTGCTGTGACCCACCCTGAGCCAGCTTGCGGGAAGGGCGGGATATAAATCAAAATAATAAATAATGTTGATTTTCTAGGCACTGGTGGGAAGGCCGCATGGCCCACTCTCGGAAGCTAAGCAGCAGGGCCAGAACTCCAGAAGCCCTCCCACTGTTGCCCCTCAAGTACCAAGAATGCAGAGTATCTCTGCCCCAGATATAGTGCTCCATCTCTACCTTGTGGCTGATAGCCAATGATGGACCTCTGCTCCAGATGTTTATCCAATCCCCTCTTGAAGCTGACTGTGCATGTTGCTGCCACCACTTCCTGTGGCAGTGAATTCCACGTGTTAATTACTCTTTGGGTGAAGAAGCACTTCCTTTTATCTGTTCTAATATAGCACCTGCTTAGGGTTCCTGGTCCCGTAGCCTGGCACAGTGATGGGTGCCCAGCCAGGGCGTACTGCTGGTGGTTGTGGTGAATTTGCTTTGTTGTATTTCCGAAGAATAGTTTCTGCAAAGTCACTTGTTTGCATCATAAAAACTTTGCTTCAGCCGTGAGGCTCTCCAAGGTTTGCAGCAGCTCTTAACTCATGTCAGTTCTGGTTGTACCCCGGGGTGGGTGGGTTAGAAATTACCACTGCAACACTGATTGCCCTTGTTCCTAAGTTTGGGTTTTTGCAGGAGTAAATTTTGGAATCGTCTTATGTGATCTTAGAATCATAGAGTTGGAAGGGACCTCCAGGGTCCTCTAGTCCAACAGAGCAGGGCCAAACTAGGAGCAACCAGGTGATGGGTTCTAGTTCAGAAGCAGTAGAAGAAAAACTGAACGTTTATCCTGTTCTATTTTCTCTCATATTTTGAGAATGTTTAATAAAGATGCTACATCAATGGCACTTGACACCACACACAATAGCAAAAATTTATAACAAATTGTGTGACACATGTTGGTCTTGCAGACGACCAAATGCAGACTGTTTGCATACATGGTGAACATGGAGATGGGTCAAGAAATTCTGGTTATTGGGTGTAGATATTATGAAATGCGGATTAGGTATGGCTTCTCCGTTTTCCTCTGAGGTCATCTTGTTAAAAGGAGCTGCGGTGGCTCAAGTGGTTAAGACACTGAACTGCAGGCTGTGGAAGGTCAGTAGTTCAGCAGTTCGAGACCCGAGTTGCCGCATGACAGAGTGAGCTCCCGTCTCTAGTTCCAGCTCCTGCTAACCTAGCAGTTCGAAAGCAAGAAATTGCAGGTAGATAAATAGGTACCACTTCGGTGGGAAGGGAACAGCATTCCGTGCACCTTGGTGTTTAGTCATGCCAGCCACATGGCCACGGAAACGTCTTCGGACAGCGCTGGCTCGTCGACATTGAAACGGAGATGAGCACCGCAACCCTAGAGTCGGATTCGACTGGCTTTCGAGCAAGGGAACCTTTACCTTTACCTTACATCTTGTTAACCTGTATAGCCACGTTTCTGAAAGAGTTTCAAACTATGATAACAGCAACTAGAATTAGTTTCATGAGATACTGGAAGTCAGGTAATATTCCACCGACAGAAGAATGGATCATGAAATGTACAGAAACCTTATTTGGTAATCAAACTGACATTCTCAAAAAGAGGGGAGGATGTCTCTCAACTGAATAGAGTTTGGCAAACCTTTTTTTCAAGAGTCGCTCAACCAATATAATTAAGTGGGGTATAAGGATTTCAGTCGAATGTTATATCTACTGTTTCTGGTATTCTATATTTCTCTTAATTCATTACGTAATCTTAATAAAGTTCTGTTAAAAAAGATAAAGCATTTCCGACTGCATTGTTGTTTTTAATTGTGTTACTGTTTTACTTATAAGCTGCCCCAAGGAGGTCTCTGGAGAGATGGCTATAAATTTTCTGAGTACTGTAAATGGAGTCCTGACTTCTGCAGTGCTAATGAGAATAAAAATGCTTTCTTCCTCCAGTGAAGAAAACACACACACCACTGATGCCAGCCGGCCAGAAAAAGAATAACTCAAACTCTGCCCCAGTTTCAAGTGGCAACGTATCCAGCCTCGATGTCTTGAACCAGATGATGCGTGACGTGGAGCAGGAAATGGACGACTACGAGCGGTGGACGGGGCGTGAGGTCCAGCCGGTGCCCAACGGTCACGGACTCTCTGGATTCACTTACTCGCTGGTGAACGCTCTGTGTCGGGTGATGAGCTTTTTGAAAGAGGTGGGGAAGCCATGTGAACTGCTGGGTGTGGCTACAATAACAACATGTGCCGTCATGATTTTGCTTTGGCAACCATTGTGCCTTAGCACTATGCTTATTTTGGGGTGTCCCCTATCTGGAGAAGCCTTGAATGTGGAGAATGTTAAATATATGTTCACAAGATTGATGATCCGATATAAGCTTGTCTCTCTTCCCCATTACGGCAACCCTCCATTCAAGACTCGAGAACGAAGAGCAGATCGCTGACATCACGTACATAGTGCAGCAGGTCCTGAATGCCAACCTGAAGAAGCAGAAGCAGACTCCAGCCAAAGGTAGTGTGCTGGCCAGATGGCCCTCCTCCCTCCCAGCTAATCTGGGTTCCCGAAAGCGCATGTGCCTTCTCCTGGTTCTCTCCCAAGCATGGCTGAGACCTCATTCTTGCTGAGGTGGTAAGCCTGATGCTGGGAGGCAGGTTGGGCCTCACAGGATGAAAAGTGCTTGCATGCAGGAAATTAGCCTCTCAGGGAGAAGGGTTAGCCTTCTTTCTGGCGTGCTATCTAAGGGACCACCTCTCCCCACATGTGCCCCGGAGAGGCTTGCACTCTGTGGATAACCATCTGCTGGTTGTGACCGGCCCAAAAGATGTTCGCTTAGCCTCAACCAGGGCCAGGGCTTTTTCGACTCTGGGCCTTAGCCTTGTGGAACATGCTCCCGACTGAGATCTGAGCCCTACGGGACCTGTTACAATTCCGCAGGGACTAGAAAATGGAGCTGTTCTGCCAGGCCTTTGGTTGCGGCAGCGGGCGTCTACCAGCTGGCTTCCCTGTTGCTGTGGCAGCAGGCGACTATTAACGAGACCTTTATGGCTCAACTTCGGCCCATTCGTTCCCGGCTGTAGGAAGTGAAAATTGAAATTTGCGGCACTGCCCACTTTACCTGTTTTTAACTGGTTTTTATGGTATTCATTTAATGTTTGATATCTATTTATTGAATCGTTTTCAGATTGTATTGGAATTTATTGCTGTGACCCACCCTGAGCCAGCTTGCGGGAAGGGCGGGATATAAATCAAAATAATAAATAATGTTGATTTTCTAGGCACTGGTGGGAAGGCCGCATGGCCCACTCTCGGAAGCTAAGCAGCAGGGCCAGAACTCCAGAAGCCCTCCCACTGTTGCCCCTCAAGTACCAAGAATGCAGAGTATCTCTACCCCAGATATAGTGTTCCATCTCTATCTTGTGGCTGATAGCCAATGATGGACCTCTGCACCAGATGTTTATCCAATCCCCTCTTGAAGCTGACTGTGCATGTTGCTGCCACCACTTCCTGAATCCCACACGAATTCCACATGTTAATTACTCTTTCGATGGAGAGGTGCTTCCTTTCCAGTTTGGTGTAATAGTTAGGAGCGCGGACTCTAATCTGGGAGAACCGGGTTTGATTCCCCACTCCTCCGCATGCAGCTGCTGGTGTGACCTTGGGTCAGTCACAAGTTCTTTCAGAGCTGTTCTCTCAAGAGCAATCCTCTCAGAGTTCTCTCATCCCC